CACACACACACACACACACACACACACACACACACACACACATCAAAAGAATAGATCACCCCCCCCCACTCGCCCAGTTTCCTCAGCTTGCAAGTGACTTGAATGAACCCCCTAAACTCCAAATACTGTTCTAACCACAGCGAATAATACTATGAATAAAAGGCAGCGTGACACAGAGATGAGAGGGATGCGACTCATTTAGAGAGATCTGAGTCAGTGAATGAGGAACTGACTGATAGTTATACTCTAAACAAATTGCTGCCAAAGCTGTATTGGAGTCCAGGATGCTCAGAGATATTATGCTTCAGATTCTGCTTAAGACTTCAGGTTTTCTTATAACTGCAGAAAGATACAATCAATATATTCTCAGAGAAAACCAGAGCACACATGCAGACGATACATACAAGATACGACGTCACAAAAAAAATCCTTGGTGATGGTTATGATGTCGTAACATTCAGTCCAACAACTGAAGCTGCCAAGTGATTAAAAAACAAAACTAATTGAGGAATGAATAAATAAAATAAGTTGCGGTTCATATGTTCACGAAAAGCTGAAACAATTAATCAATTGATCATCCGACATTCAATTACCAACTATTTCAATAACTGCTCTGTCAATTGGCATAATTCAATCAAAAACAAACCAAATACAAAACCAAATATTCTCTTTATATCAACTTCTCCAAATGTGAGGATTTGCTGCTTTTACCGTTTTATATCATATTAAACTGAACATCTTTAGGTTTTCGGACAAAACTAGACATTTGACGACCTCATCGTGTGCTTTGGGAAATTGTCACAATTTATAGGCGCTTCATTGAGAAATAAAAAAAGAAAATGGAGATATTAATGGATAATGAAAACAACCGTTGGTTGCAGTCCAACACAACAGATTTGAGGACTTCTAACTTCAAGCACAAACCAGTTTCCTTCTTTTTGGACATCGCTGGTTAACATGCATCTATTTCACGCCAAAATATATTACAACGAGAAGAGGAAGATAAAGGAAGTGAGTTAAAGCTTCACCATCAACATCATAAACAGCTAACGAGACGATGGTGAGCACACTCATTGAGAGGAATTGATTGTGAGATTGTGAATGAGTTTCTGACTAAGAGCATCTTTGAGGAACAATATGTGCCTGTGGTGGGAAAAAAAGAAGAAGGAGAAAAAAAAAACAACACACAGGCAGCAGATGTCTGACTGGTTGAGCAACATGACACGCCTGATTTCTGTGAATCAACTTTATCAGGGGAGCAAGTTCAAGCCCACAGCACATTTCCTAAAACTGCAAGTAGTCTGTAATACTCTCTAGAGAGAGACACACACACACAGACATCTTCCTTTTCTGCATATAACTAGAAGAATGTGTCCTTACATAACAGAACCAGGCAATATGAGAAAAATGTGTGAACGTAAATGAACTGTGTGAAAAGTGTGCTGTAAAAACGACCACAAGGAGATACAAGAAAGAAAAAAATAAAAATATAAAAAATAAAAAAAAAAACTTGAAAATGAGACAAAACAAACACAAAAGACGCAAAAAGACTCTAAAGAAATGCAAAACCAGAGCAAAGACGCACAATGACCACAGAGAGGCGCCAAAGGTAACGACTTCAGAGAGTCACGAAACGACCATGAAGACATGCACTCCAGACCCAAAACGGTACAAAAAGACACAAAGCGCATAATAACGAATACAATCAGCAAGAAAGAATCACAAAGAGATCCAAAACCACCGCAAAGACGACTAAACAACGTTGTTTGGCAACTTTTACAGTCAGATGGGTCTTGCTCCTATGTAAGGGGAGGGGGGAGGGGGCTTTTATATGTTTGTGTCCTGGGGCTCTGAATAACCAATAACAATGTTTACTTTATCAGTGCCAAGAACCAGGGCTTCAAATGTGAGTCAGAAACATTTCTAGTCATGTTAAAGCCGTGACTCTGGTGTGCCGGTGTGAGTGCGATAGGTTTTTGGAGTAACTAGACCGCAACTTTATCCTTCACTATAGAGGCCGCCGAAAACAACAGCTAACGAGACACGTCCTGTCGTCGCCCTCCTCCACATACAAACACTCGACAGGCTGAGGGAGAAACAGAAAGAACAGACAACAGTCACCGAGCATGAGCGCGATGAGTCGGTGAATGTACAGTGAAACCTTGAGGAAACGTTTCATTAACGTCTTAAGTTACTGCTCCTCTTTGTGTGCGTCTACGGCCCCATAGTGCTGCTGCTCATCCTGCCACTGTGACAGCGCTGAAGTGGCACCAGACAAAGGCTACTGCATGCTCCAAGCTTCAGGGAGAAGTACAACGCAGATACTAAAGTACTAATACAGCGCTGTGTTCTTTTGCTTTCATGGCTCTGTTGGCCTGTTTACATGTAATGAATGCCAGTTATCAACCACAGTGACACATGTTAGGATGTGTTGATGACCTATTAACACATGACACACAAAAAAGCTGAAAGTTCTATATTAGATAAGTTAGATTTGGTGATCCATCTTTTAATTCCTTAAACTCCAGTTTCCTTTAATTTCCTCTTTTGATAGCTTTGAGATTATAAAGTAGTCCGACAGTATCACACGTTGTCCTCATCAGCTTGTTGAAGCTCTTCATTCAAACCGTATGATGGAATATTATATGAAATATTCAAACCCAAGGTTGTGGTTTTTATTGGTTACATCATTTTATCAAATGGAAATAAATTAAATTAGACGTATCATATTTTTATACATTTCCCCAAAATTCAGCCGGTCATCTTTAGAAACTTTGGGATCTCCAGAAAAAAATATTTTTGCCAACTTAAAGAATGTAAAATTAATTTCTGTGGTTTCAACAATATTTGCACAGCATGAGTGTTTTCAATATTATGACGGCAGATAGTGGGATAGACGTTATTCCACTGGGATTTATATCATTGTAGAGGAAATATCTTTCCAGTGTTGGACCGCTTTTGTCAAACCTCGGGCTTTGGGAAATTATAATGTACATGTTGACATTTTAAATATTTGAAATTTCCCATAAATTTAAAAAAAGGAAACAACAGATCAACTCATAATGAAAGTGTTAGTTGTAGTACAATATTTAAAAAACAACTGCTGCCAGATAACCAACACTCTGGCTGCTGTACTAGTACCGATACGTTTTGCTACATCAATGTGTATCACAAGCTGATGTTGATCTGCGTCAATAATATGACCCTGTAACCACTTTTCACACTGAGTCAACTTTCACTACTATGTTTCAACTTCACACACGACTGATATTGCGAATATGAAACGTAGAGATATAACATTGACAATACGGCCGACATGTTGGCTTTTCATATTATGTTGACTGTATTTCTCATGTCATGTTTTTCTTATTTAGCACAGATTTTAGTTAACTACATGTGTTATACTGCAGCATTATTCATTGGTGGATCTTCACACACACACACGCACACACCTACAAGCAGCAGGCATAAACAGTGATGAAAGTAGATTACAAACAAACAGAGATGGAGCCATGCAACCTCTCACCCACACACACATCTACAGTTTGAGCGCGCACGCATG